GTTCTTGGTCAGTGGTGGTTTGACTGCGCGAATCTCGTAAACTTCTCTCCGAATGACTGTCGACCTCTAGTTATGCTATTGATTTCATTTTAACTCTAGGTGGTATTCGCACTATTATTTTACTTTTATTTGTTTTGAAGTTGAATTGGATTTCGTCCTTCCCGTCCTAAATTATGATTTTTCCTGTAAATAGCATATTGGTATTTTGAGTCGAAGTGTGATTTGAAGTGTTCGTCCACCTTTAGCCCTTTTGGGTATATATGGATCTGATCTCTTCTACAGTTTCCTTTGCAGAATGATACTTCTCGCGTCTGATGGCATTGCTGCTTAAGTAGATGTCAAGCGGGGGTCAAATCCTGATGTTTGTAAGTTCCTCTCAATGTACTGATCAGCATTATTTAAGTATTTCTGAAGAGAAGTGAAAGTAGGTAATTGAGGCCGAACTTGCTGGCCTCAGTTGGTTCAAGTCTACTTTTGCAGGTTGCGCTATTCACCTTTGTGCTTTTTTGTCAGTCTTACTATAATATTTGGCGCTTTACATTTTGCATTACGCATTCACATTAAATTGCATAGAATTAGCCTTGATGACCACTTACAATATAAATGGGATATTAGGGTACTAAAAGCACATCTGTTAAGCGATATTCGGAGTGTTATTTCCACTCATAAATATTAACTAATAAACCTTTGAGAATTGAGGAGTGTTAGTATTTGAATGTGGTCTCAGTGGACTTATCACATACCCCAGTAGCGTCATTAAAAATTCGTTTTTTTCACCTTTTGTGCTTGATACATGATATACGAAGGGAGAAGTGTGAATGTCGGTCCATTTGAAGTCCTAGCCACCTTTGCTACTGTTGTTGCAGCAGAATTTTCAATGGAGATGGATATCATTGTGGATGATCTTAGTGGGTTTCCCTCACCTTACAGTGATTTCCATCATTACGTTGCTTCCTTTTCCATCAGAATATGTTTTCCTGCCATTTAAACATCCACACCAAGGTGATATTTTTATTTGCGTTAAATTCTCACACTCAAATAGTTTGGTTCAGTTAAGCCACGGATTTGCTTAATCACGCAATTCGTTTAGATTGTAAACGCCCATCTTGGTCAGCAGTGGTGCAGGCCCAGCTTTCATACCTGATCCTCCTTGCCTCAGGCTCGCCTGGTTTGAGGAAAGGCGATTTGGAAATCCTTGAACTCGATCACGAATTTTTTTACTTTATAACCGCGTTAATAAACCGAAGCTCGTTTATCGACAAAATTTTTTACTTCCTTATTTGTTGAGAGGATTTGATGAAATCCGCGTGATTTGGCTAGATCTGTTCAGTTATTTCCTAACACAGTCACTGCCAGGTTTTCAGCGACAACTATCCAGGTGTTTTATTGTTCTGATTAGGTTTTTTTAACCAACTCAATCGTTGATGAGGGGAAATAAATGTACAGGTCACCTCAGTCCATGGTGAACCTGCGCTGCTTTTTTCCGATTTTGAATTAGCTTTTCTTTAGGTGTGATAACTTGGCGCGTTCATTCGCTATATGGCAGTCGAGTAGCCGTGCCAAATGTGACTCCGGGTTCTGAGGAACAGAGAGGCGGTAAAAGGTACGACCTTTTAATGATAGATAATCGGCGTTCTGTTTTATTAGTTCACGAAATTCATGAAGCCTATTAAATATATTCACAAG